TCCTTGAACATCACTGTGTCAAATTGTGGACATCTTCTGCTGCAGATGGTTTTATCTTTGTGATGAAAGAATGAAGAAGGCAGGTCTTATATGTAGAACACAACGCCACGCCATTGTTGAGAATCAGTGAGGCAGGAGTGAGTTTACCTATCCTCAACATTTGGGGCCTATTAGTGAGGAAGTCACTAATCCAAGAGTGAAGTGATGCCCATAAAGTTGTGGAATTGCAGGGCCAGAATGTCTGAAGGATGGTTTTGAAGACTGAGTTAAAGTGCACAAAAAGCATCAGAACAAGCTTTATAAATACATTAGCATGGAATAGCATCAAATAGTACAGTACCAATCTTTTTTTTTATTATTCTAAATGGCAATATCCACACTGTAGACATCCCTTCAGTCTGAATACTAGTTTATATTCAGACTTCAGAAGTTGGGACAGGGTTACAACAAGTACTCCACATTGATCATTGACACATCTAATAAAATTTTGCATCTCCAATTTATGACTGAAACACAGAAGGAAAATGAATGAATTACTATGATCAAACAAAGAAACATAGAAGACTAAATTAAACACTAGATGAAAGCTGCATTTTTTTCTATCAAAAATTGTGAAACCAGAAACTCAAGAAGCATAGGAAAAAAGTGCTAGATAGAATATTAAGGAGCAATACTACACTAAAGCACCAAACTAACTCCATTGAGCCTGATATTGGTTAAAACTTGCAAAGAGTATAATCTGAAGATTGTGAAATACTTCAGGTAAAATGCACACAGCAGGGTGAGATGTACAAATGGAAGTTTTAACCTTCTCCTAATGTGAAAATGAATAAAGTGAAGCTTCTCCTTTCTGGCAGGCATGCTGAGGGACACAATATTCAGATGTTAAAATTATCGTAATGTTGTGGCTGTGCAGCTAGTCCAACTGAGATGCGCAGCCTTGCAGTAGCACAGCAAAATTTAACACTGCTGAGCAAAAGCAAGTTTTTCATGTGTTTTTCGTCTTCCTGTGATAAATGACTACAGAGAACAGAAAGTGTGTATGTGTGTCATCCTTTACCAGGGATGAGGACTTAATCAATAGCAAGTCTTTTTTCAGTGTTTTTTCTTTACATCTACTCAAATTCTTTAATGTATTCCCTTAAATGAACCTTCCGACTATTAAAATTTGAAAATGTACTGCAGAAGCATGTGGCTTTAATTGCTAATAATTACAGAGTGTACTTCAATTAAATGGTTGTTTTTACCGCTAAACAAGAAAATAATTAGTCTGATTCGCTTTTCCTGTAAAAAAAAAAAAAAAAGGACACCAGAGACTGAAGTTTATTGTTATGGTTTTACCAGCTGCTTCACAAAAAAAAAAGTATCTTTGCTGATATTTGGCAGAACATAATAAGATAAAACAAATTACCGTACTGAGGGATGCAAAAAAAAAAAAAAAGCACCTCTGCATTTTAGACACCGCTTGCCGGTGAGCTTTTGAAAGGCAATTAACAGTTTACTTGAGCTGAGTTTGGTTTGGAAAAGATCATTTATAAATATAAATATATGTTAGGGTTATAAAAAAAAACATATGTGTGTGTATTTATTTTATTGTAAGCGTTTGCTTCTGTAGTAAATTAGAAAAGATGAAGCATTGCTTTTAAAACAATGGCTATTGTCCTATGGTCGTTCCTCTACTGTAGAAGTGTTAGCCTAGGGGTTAGAGAAGTGCGCTTGTGCTATGAGAAGCTTGCAAGCACCCTCTTTGGTACCCACAGCCTGCATTCTGGGTCCTTTAGAAAGATCCTTAAACCAACACTGCTCCCCGGGCACCGCACAATGGCAGCCCATTGCCCCCCAATGGGATAGAATAATGCAAAGATAAATGTCTCAAGTGTGAAATCAATAAAGTTAAAGTATTATAATTATTATATTATTATTAGTATATTATTATTACATATAAATCCACTTCACATTTTGCCACCTCAAGTCTATAAATGACAGCACAAATCTAATGTAGTAATTCAAATAATCAAAATTATTGAAAATTAATATATATTATTAAATACATTCCAGAATGTAACTGAACTTACACAAACTGTGTTGTATCTTGGGTAGGCGTAAACTATTGCTATAAAATTATTTTTACATCGTTATATAGCTTGTCAACAAGAGAAAGCAGGAAGCACTAAAGTTTTTTGTAGATGACTGCATTTTTTGTAGACTTCAGAAAACATATAGAGAAACATCAACAGTAGTTTACATTACTCCCTGGATCAGAAGCTCCACTGGACTCTGGGGCTTTTATTAATCAAGAAAATGCAACATTAATAGTAAGTTTAAAAGATAACTTTTCCACAAAAAAGCTGCAGGCTGGTCTTTTTCCACCTTACTCCACTTCAGTTTCTTCTGGTTTTGTCACTGTCTCCATTGTAGCCTATGTTCTGCTTACTTTTAGTCTGTGGCAACTCTTGAAGCACATGCTCTGGAAGTTTAACCTCCTTGACTGAGCTTTGCTTCACAGTTTTGGCCCCACTGTGTTCCCACTGTAATTTCTGCAAAAGTTCTCTATCACACTCTCTGTTTCTGCTCAACTTCCCATCAATATGCTTAATACAGAACTCCAGAAGCACCATAGAGAGCGTTCTGACCAGGTGTCTCACTTTGTGGTGTGGAGGCTGCAGCGCTGCAGGCCTGAAGGAAGTGAGAAGAGTGGTAAGAACAGCAGAGAAGATCATAGAGGCTTGTCTTCCCTTTATAAAAGACAGCAGGTCAAAAGGTCCAGCAGATTCTGAAACAGCAGGTATTCCCCACCGCCATCAGACAGCTGAACTGTTGGAAAAAATCTAAATCATGTCACAGACTCAGCATCCAACTAACACCAAACCAAAACACTGCATAATTGTACCATATATATTTAAAGCTCCAAACTTCCATATCAAAGCGTTTTCATGCACCATGTTTTTTCTCCCACACTGTTTACATTTTATCACTGCTGCACTTTAAGAAATACAAATGTCATGAGCATACAAAATGATATCTCGTTTTATACACTGTGTATACACAATGACAATAAAAGTTGTATAAGTCAGAAAACAGCTTCTTTAGCAGGTAGGTTTTAAGCCCCCTTATGATGAATGCCAGTGACAGTCTACTGGGCAATGTCAAGTTAATAGACTTCTCATAATAGTGAAGTATGCCAAAACATGAGATAAGCTTAATTTCTACATTTATGCTTTAACCCTACATTGTTCTTCAATAACAACCTAATTTTCTTGTGGTGTGAATAATTAGTTTTTACATGCCTCGTTTGTTTTTCATTTCTGTCCGTGATCCAATATTTAAAAAGTGTAGATATAACATTGTTGGTGTAATTAATTTAGAAATAAGATGTGTTATTTAAATTACATATTTAAAATAATGCATTTTTTCACTGAGACCATCTGTCACCAAATTATTTACCTAATTTGCTGTGATCCAGCCTTCCTTTTATTAATTCGTTCGGTGATGAAATGTTACTTTCATTTTTTTTCAACAGTCTCCTTTTAAAATATCTTGTTTTCAGTACGTGTCCTTATTAATATCACAAGCAAACGGTTAGGAAAACAAACAAACAAAAGAAACTGAGACAACCACACATTAATCTGTTGGCCAGATGTTTTTTTTTTTTTTTATAGAGTTTGTGAGATGGGAAATGGAAATTATTTTTGAAGTAAATTCAAATGAAATGTGAAAATTACTATTTGGTTATATTTAAAAATAATTGACTGGGGTCAATACAAGCATTAATTCATGTTAATTAGGGGTGTGCAAAAATAATCGTCATATCGATGCATCGCGATTCTAATTCTTGTGATCTACTGCATCGATTCTTGATGGCAAGAATCGATTCTTAATAAAAAAAAATGAACAAATAAAATACATTAATGGTTGGCGCACATCAGCCAAATCAAGTGGAATACAACTTCCAGTCCAGCAGATGTTGCTGCGGATGTGTTGACGCCCGCTGCTTTGGTGTCACAAGCATTTCCGGCCGCGGGATACTGAGACGAGTCATTCGTGAACAAAACATGGAGGTGCCTGAGAAAATTCGCCCGGCTCCATATCATTTCAAGTCAGATGCTTGGATGCATTTTGGCTTTAAAAACAAAGAAGGTAAAAATGAAATTGATATGATGCACGTCATTTGCAAAAGGGGAAATATACATTTGAATGTTTTCGTTTCATTGGTTTAAAGGACCACTGAGGCCATTTAAACGGCACTGATTATCCTTATTTTGTTATTTTAAGCTTGATGAATTCTAAGATCTTTTTGTCAGTGTGTCCACACCAGTAATAGTAATATTTTTGTCCAGTATTTGTTTTCATGGCAACACCTCCAAAAGTCGTTCCAATAAATACAGCTATGTATGAATTCAGTTGCTTTTAGTCATGTATCAATTGAAGACACGATCCAGATCATACCCAACCAGTCAGCCACTGGTTTTCACTGAACACTGTAAAAATATTGCAATGCATCGCAATATCGTGATGCATCGTGATAGAATCGCATCGTGGCATGTGAATCGTGATTCGAATCGAATCATGACTTCTTTGCCAATACCCACCCCTAATGTTAATTTAGTTCAGAGCAAGTAGCTACATTAGGTTGGTTCAATTTCAATATATTAGTTTGTTTCAGAAAATAATCAGGTCATAACAAGTGATTAAATTCAGATTCTGTGAAGTCAAATATTTTAGATGTGATATCTGGACATTTTTTTTTTTTTTATTTGTGCAAGGTTATACTTTTTCCAGTGCATTTACAAACATTTTGTATGACGATTGTCCTTTTTTTTTTTATCTATTTGTTTATTGCATAAGTAAAATGATACTCTATCCTATGAACAAAGCAGACACATTTCGTGTCTAAACCCCAAGACTCTCAGATTACGCATGAGGAATCCACCAGTCCCCCACAGCCACACCACTCCTCCCTCTCAGACCGTGGAAACGCTCCTCACTGTGCGCGTCAACAAGCGCTCTCCTTCAGCGGAGCCCCACGCAGCTGCTGTGGTTCCTCAGTGCTGGAGACTGCACTGCCACGAGTGGAGTGTCTCTCTCTCTCCTCTCACTCCTTTAGGATATTCACTTCCAATGGACTAATCTATGAATAATCCATCCCTTTCCCGCGATCATGACCTATTAGTTTTATCTCTATCGATATCGTTTTGTGTGGAATAAAAACGAACTTGTATAAATCCCAAAGGTTACTCATCGCCACCGGTTTTAATGTGTTTTATGTGTTTGCGCTCCACTGTAAGGTAAACTGCTCCATGTTTCAGTTTCTCGGCGCGTGCTTTTATCCCGTGGATGCGGCCGTTTGAGTGTTTGTTTGAGCCCAGCAGGATCAACCTGTCATAGGGCATCATGATTTCTCTCCTTCGCATGCGGATAAGGAACATTTTGCCGGAGATGCTGATCTTTTCCCCAATTCTGTGTTTCTTTCCTCTGATTGGAGCGGCTCCTGCTCTGACCACCGAGCAGCTGGACACGGGGGTGGTAAGTTGATATAATTTTTTGCCTCCAGGAGGGAAGTCCTGCTCTTTGAGGCGCTAAGAAGTTGTATCCAGTCCATTTAAAGTGGTTGCTGTGCACAGTGCAGTTTGTATTACTTTCAGATGTCGCTCTCTGATCCCTGCTGCAGACCGTCTCTGCAGCAGGGGGGTGATCATTGCCTTAAAGGCTGCTTGAACGAACTGAAGGGATAAAAGTCATCACTAAAGTTCATATCACTGTTAATGCATGACTTGCAATGAGTAAATGTTAATATATTTATTTGCCTTGGCGGGATATCGACCTCCCCCGCAGCATGCTGACATGGTATATATACCCTGCAGTGATGAGTTACAATCGGGGCTCACTTCCAGCACAAAGACGCCATAAGGAGCAAAGGAACGCTCATATCAACAGTGCAAAGGATGCCTGCTAAATAAGTAGTGCAATTAAGGATTAATTGACAATAGCTCTAGAAAATATTCTACTGAAGTTTGCAGGTTGAGGTCTGGAGAATATAACTCATTCCATTTAAACTCCTACATTACATTCCAAAATGCTTCAGTTTAATGAGCCATATCTTTTATATCAACAATTTTTAACAACTGTGTTTGGAGTTTGCTGAACAGATGGTATTTACAGAGAGCAAGCATGTAATTAATAGTGAAGTAGTAGTATTACAGATAATCCAACCAGATTGACCAGAAATTGGACTTGGTTACATTTGTTTTGTAAAGGACAGATAAATATTAGGAAAAGATAAATAATTATTTTTGTTAAATTCTGATTTTGTCTTGTGTTGATTAAATATGGGGTAACAGAGCTAACAGGTCCAGAGGCGAAATCCTTAAGGAATGCTGTAGAGATCATTTAGGAAGCCCTCCCAAGCCAGACGAACCAGAGGACATTTTTCATACCCCTGGCAGACTTACAAAATAATTTCCTTGAAAAAAGCAAAATATGGAATCAGACTTCTATATCTTAAAAATTTTGATTTATTTATCATTTCTAAAAAAATAACTTCTGAATAACCATTGCAAAACCAATTACTGGAAGTAAATGTAATATTTTACATTTTTGTATTCTTTTTTGTTACAGGTAGTTTGATTATTAGTCTCGGTCATCTCTATAGGGAAAGACTTGTGTCATCTTCCTAGACTGTCGCTACCTTCACTGATTTTCTTATTACATTCAATTCAGGACTCTGGTCCCCTTCAAAATGTTAATTTTACTTCTAGTTCTAAAAGTTAAAAGACTACATTAGATCTTAATTGTGGAGGGTGTGAATAGTTTTACATTTAACTGTAGTTACTCCAGCAGGAGCTGGATGTGCCCTTGAGTTTGCTCCCAGCGAGACGTGCTTATATGATCTCTAAAGAGAAGCTTGTAGGAGGAATCCCATTTCCATGTGCGAACCAAATCAACTGACTTCTTTCATTGTGGAGGAGCAGAGCCTCTATTTCCTGCTCAAAATGTGGAGGTGGGGTCTGCCCACTCACCTGAGCCATTTGTATCTGGGGTTAGCATTACTTTATCTTACTATCACCATTGAACTCTGGTTGAGAGAAAGCTGACCCGTGACCAGGATTGAGAATTTCCCTTCTTCCTGTTTAGAACAAGCTCAGCTTTTCTTGAAGCATGTGGATTCTGCTCCTGCTTTGTGAATTCAAGCAACAAATAGCTTTTAAAAGTAGCTCCTTTTCCTCAAACTACCATTACACCCCACGCGTAACTACCCCAGTGAGTGAGTGAAGTCTAAGCCACCAGCCACATGTGGACAAGAAAACCAAAACCCACTCAGGAACTCTGCAAGACTAGTGACAAAGGCAGGGCCAGTACATATCCACATTAGAGCTCCTGAGTCTGAATTTTACTATATTTTTATGCTTGTTTTATACTTTCTATTTAAAAGCATCTACTGTGCATCTATAAACTCATCAACCTTCATAATCTACTTTGATATACCTTTCTGAGTTTAAGAAAGAATCAAATAAAGGTAGTGAACATATAGCCTGATAAACCGGACTAAAGATTAAATGTGTAATTTAGTCTGGCCCCGATGAATGAGACATCGGAAGATTGTTGATGGGAACAATCCGTTGTTTTTTAAACCATGTCTGTGCCTATTGGCCAACGCTCTGACCGATGAGCGCAACTGACTGTGATGTGGTAAGTGTGACAGAAAGCTGGTAGGGGAGTGTAAACAAACAGCCTATCGGTAAATTGGTGAATACGTCCTTCTGAAAAATGAATGAGCGTAGAGCCTCTTCCTGCTCATGTTTCAACGATAGTTTGACTCAAAACTTGATTCCAAAGCTGAGTCAATAATTGCAATCATAGCCAGCGGTCCTTCACACAAGACTATGCCGAGATAGGGCCGCTGCAGAAGGGCTACGGTTAACCCTGGCTGCCGTTGGCCTCGGGGGTCCACTTGTTGCCACGGTCCTCTCAACTTCGGAAATAGTTTTTTTAAATTACGCATATAGTTACGCTTTAGAGTATAATATTCTCGCCTCAAATGATCTTAAAACTTAATTTTATTGAACAACAGCAACAGAAAAGAAAACTTTTAACTTTAAATTGAGCGCTCCATTGAAAGCTGCTGCTGCCGCAGTGCATGCTACTGTTCAGTAGTTGTTGCCATCTCCCTTGTTGTGCTTTCTCCAGTGTTGCGCAGTTTTGCCGTCACGCCATCAAAACCCCGTCCGCTTTGCATCCAGACATTCAAAACACATCTCTGCGTTGTGATTGGCCCGTAAGTTCTAGGGCCTGGGGCATTGATCAAGGCTAGACCAAACTCACAGGCAAAAATGATTTTGGCTGCTGGCGGGTGGGGCTAGTTTACTAGGCTAGCGAATATGCTTTGATGAATAATTAGTAGAGTATTATAATTCCTTCTGTTTCTGATCTCCTTATGTCTATTTTACTTTAAAAAAAAAAGAAGCTACATTGCAATTTGTATTGTTTACATTTCGTAGTGATTTGATACAAAAAGTGTCAGCATCAAGGCCAGAACACAGTTTAAAGTTTACTCCGATGGAAAATCAGCTTACATGAATTAATCTAGTTTTAATTCATGGGGCTGGTCAGGTATGATTATCTTGGACCAAAATAGACTGGTCAGTTTTGGTTGGACCTATGCAGCAATTTGGAATGTCATGACTCAAGCGTGAGGAGACATATAACAAAGTAAAGAAAACATCTGCTTTGGGAAAAATGCAAAGTAAACTGTCTGAATATCAGGTTCATTCCCATATAGGTGTGTCTAGAAAAAACTATTTACTGGAAGTGGGACAGACTTAGATATAAAACTGTTCTTTACCCATTGAAGGAGCTCAGGAGTACAGAAGACACAAGAAAACAGGGATCTATTATCTTGTTAGAGTGGCAACCACAGATTAGAGAATTTATGGGAAAAACTCCCGTAAATGCATGGTAGTGTGTATTGGGAGCCTCTATGCATCCATGTGACAGAAAAAGTTGGATTTTTAACCTTCAGTTGAAGAGTGAATCTGCAGATCAGCTATTTAAGGCATCTGAAAAACCTTTATTGGCAATTTTTAATTACAGCAGGCAAAAGCCTGATCAATGCATTTCCAATCAAGTGCTCCTAAGAAAGTACAGCCATTATATGTATATATATATATATATATATATATATATATATATATATATATATATATATATATATATATAT